GGATATTTAATCGTTAAAAATCTGTGAAAAGTTGATGAGTAGTAGCTACTACTCATCAACTTTTCTTCAACTTGATGTAAAGTAGCTCTTTACATAAACATTTAAAAAAATATTCAATATCCTCTAAATTTAATAAAAAGCAATATTTTCAGTTAGCTTAGTCTTAACTTTAATTAATAAAACTAAAATTTTATTTTTCTTCACAACTTTACTTATAAAATATATATAAAACATTTTTTTGTTCAAACATGGTGACAATTTTGGCACATACTGTATATATATATATATATATATATATATATATATATATATATATATATATATATATATATATATATATATATATATATATATATATATATATATATATATATATATATATATATATATATATATATATATATATATATATATATATATATATATATATATATATATATATATATATATATATATATATATATATATATATATATATATATATATATATATATATATATATATACATATATATATATATATATATATATATATATATATAATATATATATATATATATATATATATACATATATATATATATATATATATATATATACATATATATATATATATATATATATATATATATATATATATATATATATATATACTATATATATATATATATATATATATATATATATATATATATATATATATATATATATATATATATATATATATATATACAGTAAAACGATTAATGTAAGTTAGTTTTAAATGAATGTAAAATAGTTTTACAATTTTTATTAAAGAAGTTATTTTTAATCGTCTGCTAACTAATCACGTAAAATATACATCTCTCCATCAAGGATTATCATAAATTATTATGATAAAAATGAAAATTTCTTATAAAAACAGGAGAAGTGTTTGTGTTTTAAGATTTATTTTCACAAACATTTTTTGATTTTTTTTTTCTCGTTAATTCATTATTGTCTAAAGTTTTTTTGACGTAATACATTTTTGAACATAAATTAAGTTAACAAATGTCTAATTAATTAGTAACAATCTTTTAAATGTTTATAATCATAAAAATAATAATAAAGATCATAAGTGGACTCAGTGTCAGGGATAAGATACTGAAGCTCCATAAAAAATACATAAATATGCATCCTCTCAAATCATTGAATTGGAACTATAGCAATGGTAACTTCTCTTAGATACAGAACAAGTTTTTAGAGGAGAGTAATACACACTTTGAAATTTCTTTATTTGGAGTTTAAACGAAAATATTATGAAGCACAAATAAAGTTATAAAACGCTGTAAACCTATTAAAACAACTTCCAAAATTTGTAACCTCTGCCTTCATGAGAAATTTATAATTTTATATCACAAAGAAAACAACCTGCCCAATAAAAAATACAAAATATTATCTAAGTGCCGACATTCCAACAAATTTCTACTGTCTTCTTTTGATATTGGAGACTAAATAGTTACATCTTTTATTATGGTAAAATATGTTCTACAGAAACTTTGAATTTATTTGTAAGAGTTTGTTTTTAAACGGTTTTTTCTTACAGTTTTTTTTTATGTATTTAATAGTTGATGGTTGCTGTGTATGGCACGAAACTTTAAGTACTATTAGTAATGTTCTTTTTCATTAAAACAAAATTTAAATACATGTATAAATATATATATACACATAAATGTATAAATATATATATATACATAAATATATATATATATATATATATATATATATATATATATATATATATATATATATATATACATACATATATATATATATATATATATATATGTATACATATATATATATATATATATATCTATATATATATATATATATATATATATATATATATATATATATATATATATATATATATATATATATATATATATATATATATATATATATATATATATATATATATATATATATATATATATATATATATATATAGAGAGAGAGAGAGAGAGAGAGAGAGAGAGAGAGAGAAAGAGAGAGAGAGAAAATCTTCACAAGCGTAGTTAACAAGAGTAGATCTAACATTTCATTTTTCATTCATGGGACTGATCTTATTGCTCCTAAGAATAGAACAGAACTATTTGCAAAGAATTATACATTTAATATGACTCTTAAATCTTATGGCAATTCTCTTCGTTCCATTTTAATTAAACAGGTAATACGAAGATAAACATTCTAACCACTTCAGCTTTCATTGCTAAAATCATATCTCAATTAAACTCTTCTATGGCTTGTGGTCCTGATAACATTTCTGTCAGTCTTACAAAATTGTTCTGCAAAATTCTCTTTAATTTTCTCTAAACAATTTACTGAACTTGAACTAAGTCTTGATTTCCAACCTGCTGGAAAATGGCATATGTTGTTTATTTCAGATTATTCATCAATTCAGATGAATAATCTGACCCCTCTAATTATTATTCAATCATTTAACAATTATAAGTCTTTAATCAACAAATTTCTTGCATCTCATCTTCAGTCAAACAACTTACTGTCAGGCAATCAATACAGTTTTTGATCTTCTGGCTCTACGGCTGATTGCTAACTGCTTATCCATAAAATCTTCAAACTAAGATAACACCAAGTCACATTACTCAGTCGTAGACAGGAAAGGAGTGCGATTGCAGTCCAATGTTGACCATGCATGTAACTTTTTTTTTTCGAAAGCTTGATAACGGTTCTTTAAACAATTAAAAACGCACTGAATAAAATCAATAAAGAAAAAAAATTGTAAACAGTCTAAACTAAATAAAAAAGAAAGAAATCTTAATGAAAGAGAAATTAAAAAAAAAATTAAAACCTTAAGTTCTAAAAAAATTTACTAATATAAATCTGACAAAACTAAAACTCTAATAGAAAATTGATTTTAATTATGTTTTGTAATTAAATTAAGGTTAAATAACTCGTTGCTTTGGTTTGATGAGTTTCTAACTGATTTTTTTTATTATTAGGAGAATAGCAAATAAATATTTTTTTTCTTTTTTTTTTAAATATCTAAATAAAAATACTTTTCTGATTATTTTTTATTTATTAATGTATTTTTATATATTATAATTTATATAAAAAAATATATATATACATAAACATATAAAAAAATAATAATATAAAAATTTTAATTGATCATTCAAAAAAATTATAATTTTTTTTAATTTTTTTAAATACGAAACCAACGCAACTATAAAAGTTTTTATAGTTAGTTGCATTTTTTTCTAATGTTTTTATAATTTTTTTTTTGAGAACATATACACTCATCATAAGAAGTATACTTTTTAACAATATATCTTTCTATAATTTAAATATGTCACTTAAATATACAACCTTTAAAAGCAATTTCTTGCTTTATTACCTTGGATTTTAGCACATTTTTAAAAAGGTTTTCAAAAATTTTTAAATTCAGGGTAAAGTTGTTCCTAAAAAAATAATAAATCCATGGTCAGGAGTAGAGTGTGATCGCATGCCTTTCCTGTTCATGCTGTGATAAAATCATTAAATTCATGAACTACACAAGTGAAATTTTCAACTGATCAACCAATTTTGCTTTCAGCTCCATCAAGACATTAGGGTTAAAGAAACTGAATGCTCTGATCAATGAATAATTCAACAGAGATTTGTCATAAGAGTTTTTACCATCCAATAAACAAATTTCTTGGCAGTCTGTCTAGTATTTGGTTCAACTATACCTTCAATATAAGCAAAGAAATGTAACTTGGAAAGAAACAAGTGATCTTAAAGTGCCTTTTTTATTGTCTCATAGCTTTCACATATTGTTTATTTGGATTTAGGTAACGCATTCCAGAAAGAAAACAAACATTTTAAACTTTTCCATACTTCGATCAACCTGTTAACCATCTATTTGTTTTTAAATTTTTCTAAATGGTGTTTTTAATTCAAACACCATTTAGAAAAATTTTAAATCGTATCTAGTCATATTGGTTCTCTTGTCAACACCTTTTTATTAGTCAATGAGTCAAATGTTTCACAATGAATGTAGTCTATCTTACTATAATTGCTAATAACTATCATGTAAAAACTTGATTGTCTTAAGCATGTGAATTTATGTTTTGAATGGAGCATTAGACATTAGAAGTAGTTATCTTGTTGAGCAAAGGTTAAGAGAATAGACAAATAAAACAGTATTAAAGTTATAGTCTTCTCTACTTGCACGACTATCATGTAAAATATAATGAGCAGTATTTAAAACTTTTTCCAGATTCCATTCTGTGACAGCCTCTCAAGTTTAAACTGCCATGGGCAATATGTAAGCTGCAAGTTGTACTGAGTTCATTGAAACATTTTAAATTGAGATTAGGACATCCATTGATATTTGTTATAGATTTTTTTACCCAATTAGTTGTTATATTATAACACAAATTCAATATAATATTGCAATTAAAGCCTAGTAAGAAAAAAAATTAAGAAAGCATTCAAATAGAAATAAAGGAAATTAATAAATTTAAACCTTCAGCTTATATACTGAAACTTTTTCTCTCATCCAACAAGACATGAGTAGATAATATTACAATATTAGCATTACATAAGTTGCATATACTATTAAGTTGAATTACTATGGAACTTTTGAAAAAAAATATGCAAAGATTTACCTTGTGTTTTACTGTAAATTGAAAAATTTTTAATTGATCCAAACCGAGAAGAACCATAAGGAAATACAAACAGAGAGACATTGGTAAAAACAGCTGACTGAGTACTTACATTAAAAAACTGAACAGTTCCATTGACATTTACAGATATAGCATAAGTATTTTTATCATTTATATAATAATGAGAAATTACAACTGAAGTCCATGAATTGGCTGTTATCTTAATTGAATAAACAAATTTTCCCAATGCAGCAATATTTAAAAACAGATCTCCGTGAATATCAAAGTTCATCAGATTATCATCATCTAAACATTCTATACTCATTAAAGGTGAGGTACTAGACCAGTTGATAATAATAGAAATGATATAACAAACTCATCATAAAATTTTTCTAATGTTGTATTGGTGTATTTATTTATTTCACCAACAAATATTGAACCTAAAAAACAATTATTGTAGAATAACTTCATTTTATTATAATTTTCCAGCTTTAGATAAAAACTTTATATACTATTATATATATATATATATATATATATATATATATATATATATATATATATATATATATATATATATATATATATATATATATATATATATATATATATATATATATATATATATATATATATATATATATATATATATATATATATATATATATATATATATATATATATATATATATATATATATATATATATATATATATATGTATATATATATATATATATATATATATATATATATATATATATATATATATATATATATATATATATATATATATATATATATATATATATATATATATATATATATATGTATATATATATATATATATTGTTTTTGCACAAGTATCTAGATATGATGAATTTTTAATAAAAGTAAAACTGATTCAATTTATAATTCTTAATTTTTTTTAAAGAACAAGAGAAAAAAGAGAGAATATCAGATACTTTATCAAGAAACTGAAGATGAAAGAAAATAAAATTCAATATCAGTCTAACTAGTATAAAATTAGTATTAATTTATATTTTGGCAAAATTATATGGTTGCAAAATTTCTAAAGTGGTGAAATTACCCCATTTTACTCTGTATAAAAACTACAAAACTCTATTTGAAAAAATTTGTAAAACCTGAAAAAATATTATTACTCTAATCTGATAAAAACGACTCAAAACAAATATGGAAAATATTTCTACTTTCTACTTCTAATTAGGTGTAGAAAGTAGAAACAGTATATCCATTTTATTACTAAATAATTACTTTTTTTACTTTAAATTTATTTTGTTTTAGAAGCCAAAACCATAACACAATTTTACATATTTTGTTATTATTAGAGTTTGAAGCCAGAAGAAAAATCAAGGCAGTATGATGTGGTTTCTCATTTTATAATTAGTTTATATAGTTTAATAGATTGTTTGTTTTATGTTTAGTTTACATTTAGTTAAAATGGTTCAATGCAATTCTTTTATATTAAGTTTTTTATTAATATTATACTAACATTTGTAAATTTAAGTAAAAATATCTGTTATAACTTTAATTAAGTTTGATTTATATGATTATAAGTAAAACAATTTTTTTATATTTAGTTTCTATTTAGTTCAACTTATATTGTTTATTCAAGTCACTCGTTTTACTGTGAATATTCATTATATATTTAATTTATATTTTATTTGGGTTAAACGGTTTAGTGACATTATTCATTCTTTTTTTAATTTATATTTACTTTAATATTATACAGTTTATAGTTCGTTTTAAGTTTTGTTTATGTTTAAATTAAGTGTTTACAGTAAGGTGCAGCTGTTTGCTTTATACTTGGCATATATATATTTAAATTTAATTTACACGATTTATTAAAAGAACTTGTTTTACGTTTAAATTGTTTTATACAGTTGAGTGAAAAATATTTATTTTTTCATGTTAAATTTTGTTTAATTTTACTTAATTGATAAAATGCTGTCTAACTCTTTAGTTAAATATTAGTTTATCTTTAATTTGAACCAAAACTTTCTACTTACCAAAAGAAACTTTATGTATTAAAGTAATAATTTAAATTAATAAACAAATAAATTAAAAAAAAATAAAAATCTGATTATGGCAAGAATAACACAAGTAGTTTAATTTATTATCAGAGTGAGTAATTTTCATGATTTTATTAACAAATTTTGCAGAAAACGCTAAAATTATATATGATTGTCATTGTTGTGGTAAGGATAATGTAATAAACCAATTACTATAATATTACATTATTACAACTATTATTATAACCATAATATACATATAATATATATAATAACCTATAATAATATATAAATAATATAATATATATATAATATAATATATATATATATATATATATATATATATATATATATATATATATATATATATATATATATATATATATAAAATATAATAATAATATAATATAATAATAATATAATATATATAATATAATATAAATATATATAATATAATAACATAATATATATAATAACCATAATATACAACTATTATAACCATAATATACAAATATTATTATAACCATAATATTACATTATTACATTATTATAATATTCCAAATTCTTAATTTTGTTAGACATAAAACACAACAACAAGCAGCAGTATCATAAAAAAAACACGAAAATAAACACATTATAATAAGAAAAAGTATGTGCAGAAATGCTTAAAGAAAGAGTATAAAAATACATTAGCATTGAATAAATTTGTAAATTATGAAGTATAATACCAAATTCTTGCCAGGATGTGAATATAATATTGACCTTTAAAAAGATTTAATACTATGGTATGTGTTGTTTCAAATGTTTTAATGTTTATTCCTAGAAACTTCTGTCAGGGTATCAGTCTCAAAACAAGTAATTTTAAAAAAAACTTTATCACTTTCTAACAGCACTTTCACTGATTTTGGATTCTTTTTGTCATTTGTTCTTTTGACATGCTGAAACATGAACCATCAAAATTTATATTTATACAATTGCTTTTTTCCATTAAGTAGAAGTTATTAAATCTGAGAATAATTGATAAAAAAAAATGTCATGTTAAAAAAGTGTTAATAAGCACATAATGTAAAATAAACTATCCTATTGAGAAATTATGAATAATTTGTTAAATTTTAGTCGCAAAAATTTTAAAAAGTGTTTTTAAGAAGTAGACTGTCCCACCACAAAATTACAATTTATTTTATTATTTTTTGTAAATTTTTAATTTATTTTTATGAGTTTTACGTGTTGGAAGTTCAGCTGGATGTAAATCAACTTGTCAACAGACTTGGGATTAAAGCTTTGTTCGTTTAAATGTAATGAAATGCCTACCTGCTAAGAAGACTCTTTCAGAGGTTATAGAGGAATTGGGTATGCACAACACATAATGAAAGTTTTTCATTAAATTTGGTACAACAAAAGAATTAGAGGTTTTTTTATAAAACCTCGTTTAACTTCGAAATAAAGTAAAATTAGATTATTTATTTTTTGTAATAATAAGATGAAAATTATAAACTAAGCAAATGTTTTCCAAAACAATAAACTACTGCATTTTGATTCATCAATCTTGCTAAAATTTACCATTTAGTTGCAAGTTAATTCTAAACATAACTTTTATCATAGTTAAATTAATTTCTGCATTTTATTATGCAGGTTACAAGGTTAATTTTTATGGTGTATCTTTATAGATGAGCCTATTATATTATTATAAGAAAAACCACAGAAATTGAAAATATGAGAGACCTATTTATAAATAAATGGTCTAAAACCTCCTTTGGCACAGATTTTTTTTAAATAAAGTATTCTGAATTAAAAAATAAATGTATTGTCAAAGTCCTAATAGGTAAAACGCGTGTTTTTGCACAAGCAAGAGTGTCAATGAATTTATTATGAATTTATTATTTTGTGTCATGAAACAACTTTTTATTAAATATTATTAACTCAATATTAATGTTTAATTAAAAATTACTTACTGTCTAAATAACATATATAGTCAACAATAGTGTACTTCCAAGTGGTTAAACAAGAATAAAAACCAAATACATTATCATTTGATTCAATAACACAACTGTTATTTCTATTGCACAATTTCTGAATATAATCTGTGACATTATTTGAGATACATGAATTAAAACTTGCAGTTTGACTGGTTAGACATTGACCATTATCAAAACAACTATATAAAGCATTTTGAACATGTATCATTGACATTTGCGGACATTTTATTACATATGAAGATCCTTCGCATATTGCAACTAAATTTGAATAAAAATAATTCAATTCAAGACATAAAAATAATAAACCATTTAGGCTTTTTATTTAAATCTTGCATCTTTGAAAATAATAATGATAGTCATTATTATGGTGATGATCATAATCATCACAATGATCATGATCATTGTGATGATGCACATCATCATTTTTATCATAACCATTACCATCATACTCATCATCAACATCAAAAACATCATCATCATAATCATCATATCATAATCATTATCTTTATCATTATCATTATATTTTTCATGACCTAAGAGAATCATTTATAGTGTCAAATAATACCCATGTTTAAATCAAGGTCATTATAATATTTTAAAAACTGAATGTTTGCAATACTATTGTTTTCAAAAAAAAAATTAAATTTATCTTATGATATTTTAAAAATATCATAAAATCTTGCCTATTTTACCAAATATTTACCAAATTCATTAGACCTTTCTCTAAATGTAAGACTATCTTAAGTCATCAGTGCGGATTAGTTGGCAGTTATTACAACTATTAAATAATCTTATTATTTAGCCTGCAAGAAAAAAATGTTTGTTATTTGTATTTCAAAATGTTTAAACTTCAGGTTCAGAATAAAATCTCAAGTTCAGAATAAAAATAAGTTAACTCTGACTTAAAATCCCATTTTCTTAAAGTTCTTATTTGAATAAAGAAGAAAAATGTCTTTATAATAATCCTTATCTTAATCAGATGTTGACTGCAATCAGATTCTGTCTAATCAGATAATTTCTCTAAAGCAAAGGCTTTAGGGTAAGCAAAAAATTTGTATTGACCAGACAATTGCGTTGAACAAATGCTTCTTCATTTATTAGGTTAAGATAAAAACCTTGTAACTCCATGTTTGTGGTAGCTCTTTCTTTATATACTAACATCAATAAAGTCTCTGATGAGACTTGCCTCTAATGAGAGCTAGGCATGTGCTAAAACTTTTATTGTTGTGTTATTTTTTGTATTGTTTTAAAATGCATTTAAGTCTCGCGACTTTAACTTTCATTTAGTAAATCCAAGCATATAAAGTGAATACTTGCAGCCTTTTTAGAAGTAAATTTATATAAAAAACAAAATATATATATATTTAATTTATTGAAACACAATTAGAAAGTAAAATAAGTGTTTTTTGTTATAAATAAACCCAAAATAATAAAAATAGTAATAAGATTTCACTTTTAATCAGAGTTTGTTTGCTTTTAATATTTACTTTTGACAACTAAAATTGTGATAAAAATTACACATGCATGAATTAAAATTATAATTTGGTATAGTTTTAATTAAAAATCTTACCTTTATTAAGTTTGCAAACTGTAGGTAGAGTTAACACCTAAAAAATAAATTACCTACTAAATTTCTATTGTTGATTACTCACTGAATCTAAAAATCAACTTTATACTTCTTAAAATCTTGGTGAAAAACTTCTTATCAGGTTTTTTCTCTTATAATAAATACAAGGCTAATGTTTAATAAGTCACTGATGTTTTACTAATAAAAAAAAATAGTAGCAAAAAATAATTCTGAAATTGTTGCATTAAACCAATTCAAATATCTCTTAGCTTTTTCTTAAAAAAGGTCAAATAAATCCTATCCATAAGCTAAAATGCATCAAGAGTTTTCTAAAATATTGTTGCAAACACTAAATAAAGATATTTTGATACAGTAGTAAAAATGATTTTTTTTAGTAAAATTTCTTCAACATTTTTTTTGTTTTGTTTCTTTAAAGTAACTTTTCATAAATCGTTTTGACTTTTAACTTTGTTAAACTTAATGTATTTAATATGTATTTGAACTTTTATTTTTGAAAACTTTTATATTTGAAATTTTATTTGAACTTTTTAAACCTAAGCTTGTGTAGCACAGTTGTGTAAATCCTTTATCCTTATCTTAGATATTGATAAAGTTAACAAGCTTTTAAACACTCTTTTTCGAATATATTTTTGATTATCCATGCATTAGTTAAATAGCAAACTTAAAATGCAATATAGTTCATTCAACTGCGACTTAATCAAAATATTTGAAACTTATTTTAATAAAATTAATTGAAATCGAACTTTGAAATATTTAAGAATCTTGTAACAATTTTAACCTTGTTTGGAAAGTAAGTTCCATGCAAACAGGCAAAAAGTTTTATACTATAAACTAAACCATAAACTGCAAACTATATTTGAAAATCTCTGCTTGAGTTCATTTTTCAAGGGTTCGTTTTAATCGGAATACACGTGCACAACTAATAACAACATCTATCCGGAATGTCACTTTTAAAGTAGCCTTGTAACAAATGACACGAAGTTATTTCGGACGCCTAAATAACATTTAGTTAGTATATTTATGTACCAATAGATAGTTATATATCTCGCTATATTCGATTATTACGGTTCACTGTATTCAATTATTTCAAGCACTATATTTAATTATTTCGGTTTTTGTTGAAGTTTTACAGTTCTTATTTCAGATCTTATCATAAAGTTTATTACTCTTAGGTGATTAATACATGGGAATAGACGTTTTATTAATTTTTGAAAGTTTTTCCCATCCACCCCAAGCTTGTTATGACCATCTCCGTGTAATAACTTTTACTTGTTATCAACAAAAAATCATTATATAAAACCAGGGCCGTCCCGAAGGGGAGGTGTAGGAGGTGTCTCACCCCTAAAGGTGTTATTTAAGCAGTTGTACATTGTACATTTAAGAGTTGGTACATTGAGCAAGTTTTGAACTATAGTTGGCAAATCGCAAATATTGAGGACCCTTTTTTTTTGTTGTTTGGTGTTTCTAGTTAGCAAAAAAATACATAACCCCTCCCCATAAAAGATCTCTTCGGGACGGTCCTGATTAAAACTGAACAAAAAATCAGCAAAAGTTTATATCAGTCACTGATAAGAATAATAGACTCAACCTTTCTCATTTAAATGAGAATTTAACTTATATAAGCATATTAAACCCTATTAAAACTATGATGCTGTTTAAAATGCGCATTTGGCTGAAGACCACATTAAAATTAAATTGTTTTATTCGTGTTCTGTAAAAAATTCACACCGAATCTTTTATTAAGATTCCCTTTTCCCCACCCCCTCCCCATTACCTCCCTCCTTTCTTTTCTATTAGATCTTTCGCTGCTCCCCCTACCCATCCTTTCTTATAGTAGAAATTAAAGAAGCTTTCTTTATTAAGTTTCTTGGAACTCGATCAAAATCTGTCATGGAAAACTCATTTGATTATATATCTCAAAAAATATTGGAATTCTATATAAGGCTAGAAATTATTTAAATAAAAATAAAATAAAACAACTTTATTCATAGCTATATAAACTATGCGAATATTGCCTGAAAAAGTACTGGTAAAAGTAAGTTACGACGTTTTTATCAGAATCAGAAACATGCAATGCGCGTAATATATCTTTCAAATTGTTTTTCAAATACGAAATCTTTATTTAAAGATATGAATGTTTTAAATGTTTATGAACTTAGTATTTATAATACCTTATGTTTTACTTTTTTTTTGTATGAATAACCTATTGTTAAATGCTTTTAAAAATATATGCACTCTTAAAGCAAAGAATAAATATAGCTTGCGAAATAATAGCTTTTTTAACAAACCTCTAGTAAATAAAAGTTTAACAAGTTTTGTATAACTCATCTTTGGAATAATGTTGTTCCGCCTAACTTTGATTTGTCAATCTCTTTTCCAGTTTTTAAAAATACGTTAAAGAATATTATTTTTTTAATGGATAATATATGAAAATATTTTTGAGATGTATTTTTTAACATTTTATTATTTTAACTAGATTAGATTGCTATTTAGATTTTAACTACTTGTATTATATATAATATTTATATTTTAATTTTTATATGGTTCTGGCGACAAGATTAGTATGATCTTCTTCCAGATGCCAAATTTATATTATACGACATGTAGAAAAAATAAATATTCCTAATTTTATTGAAAAACACATGCCTAAGGTTTTTGAAAAGATATATTAATTTTTAAATAGAGATAATTTTTTGCGTTTGTAGATGTTTTATATAACACATTTTTGATTGAAACTGATTCGGGTGACAGGAATAATGTCGAAAAATAAATTTCGGAGTACTGTCGAATATATTAAAAAGGCCTAATGTCGCAAAAAAAAAAGAATAGTCCCAGTGGGCACGGAAGTAAAAAAGACGTCTTTTAAACGTCTAATACACGTTTTGGACGTCTTTTGAACGTCTTTTGAACGTTTTGGACGTCTTTTGAACGTTTAAAAAACGTCTTTTTTAGGTCCAGTGCCCACTGGGGTGTTGCAAATTAATTTAATGAATAGTATCGAAAATTAAAAAAAAGGAATAGTGTCGCAAAAGAATATAATGAATACCCAGCAGTAGCAAACATGTAATGTAAAGAATACAGTAGCGAACAGTTGTATATATATATATATATTGATTGCATTTGTAACAACAGTTATTTCATTTCATAAAACATACATCTATATATCCTTGTCTTTTCAATTTGCGCATAAAACATTTAGCTTTTAAAACTTTTATAAAAATTATCATAATTAAATAAATCATTTAATTTGTTTAAAATAAAAAAAAATTACATTAAGCAAGTTGTTGTTTATTTAAGGTATAAAAAATCTAAGTTATATATAGTAAAAAATAAAAAAATACATCTGGGAAAATTCTGGGGTTAATAGGAGAAAAACGATAAAGCAGCCGATAAATTTTTCGTTTTTTTTTTATTTAGCCTGTATGGTACTCATATAGATCCCGCACCCAAATCCCGTACGGTTCCATGTGATATCTCGTACGGGTCCTCCACGGCACCGCATAACAATGCCGGATGGGTAGTGTCGAAAACAAAAAGAAGGAATAGTTTTGCAAATAATAAAAGGAAGAGTGTCTCAAATAGTAAAAAGAATAGTGTGACAAACAGTAAAATCGGAGTATTGTCTCAAATAGTAAAAATAAAATAGTGTCGCAAATAGTAAAAACAGAATAGTGTCGCAAATAAAAAAAAAATAGAATAGTGTCACAAATAGTAAAATTGTAATCGGAGAGAGTTAGTAAAAAATAGGGTATATATATAATCAAAGATAATACCTCAATGAAAATCAAAGATAATACCTCAAATTTATCTACACTATGTTTTTTTTTTAACACTATTTATTGAATTTATTTTCAAAACTATTCCTTTTTTTTTCCGACACTATTCCTTAAATTCAATTGCGACACTACTCGATTTTTTTGTGTTCTACACTTTTTCTTTATTCCATTTGCGACACTATTTTGTTTTTTTTTGTTCTCGACACTATTCATTAAATTCCTATGCGACATTGTTCTTATTCTATTTTCGACACTATTTGTCATATTCATTTGCGACATTATTCCATATTCTTTTATTCGACAATCAATCATGCGACAACTTGCGACACTATTCCTTTTTCACATTTTCGACAATCAAATTTGCGACAATCAAAATTTTGCGACACTATTCCTCCACACCACTAAATCGATTCCCTTTATCTTAAAATGTCTTGAAAAATTTTTTAAAAAAGTTCTTAGAAGTTATCAACAATTCTCTTAGGTATATAATATACACGTATTGTTTAAAACGTTTTTGAAAGTTTTACAGCTTTGGGTAATAGTTTTTAAAGTGTGTCAAAATTGTGTTTAAAATTGTTGTTCTATCTTTTTAAAGCAAAACTAAAGAAAGTCTTTAAAAATAAGCAATTATATAGTACGTAAATATAAAAAGTTGAAAATTTCTCTAAAAACTGTTGAATTATAAATTTCTTTAACTAAAAAATTAAAATATTATTAGAAAAATATATATTTATTGGTTGACGTTTACAATAATATTTTTAAAAACTGCACTTAAAAACACGAGGCCTTTCAATAAAGAATTAAAAAAAACATACCCAAAATATAATAGGAAAAATCTTATTTAAGTTCATAGTTTTGTTATTGTTTATTTAAGTTATGCTTCAGTCAACCGACCTTAATTTTGCTTCAGTTTAGTTGATAATTTAAAATGCCATCAAATCGTTTGAAATTTTTTCACATTTTTCCAACATATTGTGGGCTTCAAGCATTCAAAGAAAAAGTTATAAATGAATAGTTTCAACTTTTTTATAAAAGAGAAACCAAAACGCAAATGATTTATATTTGACTCAACAAAGTTTAATAATGCATACTGGATTATTAACTAAATAGAAAAGCTATATTAAATGTTGTAGCGACGAATGTAACAACTTAAAATATAATTCAATATTTATATTTTAAATAATTTTATTTTAATTAAATATTTATCAATTTGTAATTATGTAAAATGTAGTTGGGAATTTAGGCAACTTTTTAAGCAAATGTAAATATTTTTTATTTTAATTACATTGGATTCCTTAATATATTTCATTTCCAAAAAGGTTTCAACCACTTCTGTAGCTTATTTAGTTCCAAAGATATACGTATTTTAACATTTTCAATTCATAGACTTTTTAGGAAATATTTTCTTAAAGTATATCGTTAATTTTTTGGCACCGAAAAAAAAATTTTTATAGTTTTTTTTTTCTTGCGCGTTAACAAACTTTTAATAAGATTTTATTAGCAATTTAATAACAATTTATAAATATAAATTTTTTGCGCTTTAAGAAACTTTTAATAAAATTTTATTAGAAACTTAATAACAATTTATAAATATAAATTTTTTTAACAGTAAAATATGTTTTAAACTTTTTTTTAACATAACTTAAATTTTTAAATGTTTTAACTTAACGTTAAGCGTAACAAAACTTTGAGAAGAAATATTAATTTAAATTAACTTTTATTTGAACATTCTTTAAGGTCCCCACGAATTTTGAAATCTTTTTTAGAAAAAATCAATTATATAATAATATATTTACGATTTCTTTTTTTTTTTTTTTTTGATCAAATAAATATGTATAAAGGTGTGTACTTTGGCCATAATAGGTTTTTAAGGTCCTTAACAACGCCATAGCAACAGATTTTTAAACAAGCAAGTTTCAACTCGTTCAAACCTCTAAGCATTAATATTTCTACAGATTCTTATTTATTATGTGCTTTATAGTTAAGTGAAAGTATTTAATTGGGTCATGCTTCTTTTGTAATATAACAAACCTTTTCTTTATTTTTTGTATTTATCTCAAAACTTTTAGATTGGGACCATATACATCCCTGAAATTTTCATGGGTACTTTTTTTTATTATTTGACTTAGATAATGAACCAGAATTACAAATTAATATGATGTCAAAATATGTTTAATACGTTTTTTTTTTTGCCTTTTTTGTTAAAAGGTTTTAAAAACCTATTAAAAGTTACTTTTAAAACGTTCTATGCATATTCAATGCATGATTCTGGTTCATAAAATATCAAGTGAAAAAGGTGGCCCCAAACTAAAAAGGTGAAAACGTTGAAATACGTACAAAATAAGGATAAATCTAAAATTTATTCTCACACAAAAAAAAAAATTAGTCAACAATTTTTAATAATTTCAGTTAAATCATAGGTTCAAAAAGAAGTTTAACAGCTTAGAGTCTGTTATTTAGACTCTAAGCGGTTAAACTACCCTAATATAAGAGTAACCTACTCTTGAAAAAGGATAGCGAGCAGCTTTGAATGTTTCTTTAAGTTTTTATGAAAATTTTAAAAAAATTATATATATATACCATATATATATATATATATATATATATATATATATATATATATATATATATATATATATATATATATATATATATATATATATATATATATATATATATATATATATATAGATAGATAGATATAGATAGGTACATATAGTCATCAAACAATTTTATACAAAATTTGCCTTGGCTATTCCGTTTATAAATTAGACGAAACTGTCTAACTTACTTAACGAAGTGCACCAACGAGAAGGTAAGCCATAGGACTTTGCACTCCATCAGTGAGCTGTTATTTTGTCAAAGGTCAGCCCTCCATTTTTGGATTGTTTTGTTTATTTGATAGGCAGTGTATGTATAAGTAATAGTAACTCAGCCTATAGTTAGCCCTCCATTTCTGGATTCCTTACTTTTTGATAGGCAGTTCATATAAAGATTTTTTTATGTTAATTTAATTTTAATATTTATAATAATGTCCAGTTAAGCATAAAGATAAAAATATTGATATATATTATAAAAATATCTTTAAATTAAACAAAATTGGTACATATAAATATATCAGATATGATTTATACCATTTATAAAGGTAAAAACCACTGTACTCAAATGCAATAAAAACATATAATTGGAACATAATAACATAAGAAACAAGATCAATACATACTACAACATAATTCTAAAGTTTTAATAAATAATATTACCTCATGATCTAAGCTAAAAAGAATATTACCACCTTTTTCAAAATCAATTAGTAAAGGAAATGGCCATACTTTATCAGGTTCATTATCATACTTAACAAGGTATATGGTTCATTAGCGTTTGATTGATCATTTGTGCTATTTGTGCTATTCCCATGTGCTATTTGTGCTATTCTTAATTGTGCTACTTGTGCTATTTCCAAGATACTTCAAGAGAATCTTTTTTTCTAACACGATGTTGTATAGAAAAACCTACAAAATCAGATGGATTGTTAATAAATTTTGATAAGGAATATTTTTTTGTGCTCTATTAATTTCTTTAGTCTTGCATCCTGAATTTTTTCCATCAATTCTTTTTTTTTTTTTTTTTTACAATAAGAAGATTTTGATAAAATTCCTCCGAAGGCAAGTTTTTCATTTTCCTTTCTTCTATTTTTGTTTTACAAAAAAGATTTTTGGCACATTCAACACCTAAGATTATGCGATAAAAATTTAGTTGAAAAAGGAGCACTTTTGCCTTTAATGGAACTTTTATATTGCATACCTTCAATATTGCATATCTTCAAAATCTATTAGATGTGTAAAATAATCTATTTTTAATTCCAACATAGATTCTATTTTCCTTTTTAAAATTTTATTTACTTTTTTCGGCATTATGTTTTCCCTTATTAGTATTGTTTCTTTACGAATTCCAGATGCATTCACTGTATTATAAGGAAATTTGCCACAGGTGGAAAAAAGGCTACACCTAACAATTATAATAATAGTTGTTCGCTGTTTCTTTAACTTTTTGATGGTATCAACTAATCTATATCTTTTTGGCTAAAGCTTTCTTGCAGCAAAACAGTTTAACATTGAAATCCACGCAACATTTACAATATATTGTATGATAAGATGTATCTTTTAATGTCAAATACCAATCATAAATAATTTCATTGATCATTTTATCTAAATAAATATAGATTTTCCATTCATCATTGCAAACAAATATACAAATTTATTTAATTTTATATATATACATATATATTTATATAATATAATATAAAATAAGTAAAAGACTTTAAAACTAATTTAAATTATATAAATATTTTATAAATGTTCAAATGTGTGTATATATATATATATATATATATATATATATATATATATATATATATATATATATATATATATATATATATATATATATATATATATATATATATATATCTGTGTGTGTGTGTGTGTGTGTGTGTGTGTGTATATATATATATATATATAACTTTAAAATCAGGTAATTTGTAAAAAAAGTAAATTGTAAGTTATAAATAAGACTTACGGATAAACTGTTGTAATTAAGTCACTAATTGGTTAGCAGCAAAAACATCAAAAACATAAAAATAAACCCACTTTATTATGCTGTAAGTAAAAACATGTAATAAAATTTCAGGGTTATAAAAAATAAAATTAATGTGTGAAAATGTGCGAAAAAATCTTATCAAATTATTATTTTTATTTAATATCAAACCATTTCAAAAATCAAATTTAAAATTTATTAATAAAGATACTTACTTAAGTCTAACCTTTAGCAAGCTAAAAAAAATTATAAAACATAACTATAATATAACGGAAAATTAAAAATATATAAATGAAATAATTTTTACCTATCTGGTCCATTGTCATCACTAATAAAATAAATATATATCAATGAAAAACCTTTTACTATTTTTAAAAAAAGATATTTTTTTGTTTATGCTTAAGTTAAAAATTGTTAAAAACCAAAGTACAATACCTACCTTGGATCCTGTTTTTTTTTTTTTGCAGAATATCTACCTTGATAGACAAGAATATCTACCTTGATACCTTGATATAATAAAATATATTTAAAAAGTATAAAAAGTCTTATAATTTTGAAAAAAAATATTTTTCTTTTCTTTTTGTTCTAAATATCAATATGAACTTAATGATTAACTATAATATTCATAACTAAATTTTTAACTCTTACACCTTTGAGTGCTTTTTTATCAAAATATAAACAAATATGAACATAAAAATGATATAATATTTTATAAAAGACTGTATAATTCATATACAGTCTTGTGACATTGAAATGGAAACACTTTTGAAACTTGATTGCTTTTTGTTTAAACAATATTTAACAATATTTAGCAATATTATTTATAATTTAATCACATATTTAAAGTAATTAGCGAAAAAAAAAAGATTTGTGTAAAAAAAGCATTTTGACAAAAAAAAAAATCAAAAAAATACAAAAAAACGTATTTTATTGTTGGTACAACTTGGATATTTGCATAGAACGATAAGGAAATTTTTAGAAAAGTAATCAATCAAACTTTTAACAACCACCATTAGTAGAGTTAAGAATAACGTGGTGAGAATTAAAAGAAAAAATGATTTAAATGGCAAAAAAGTTGAACATTGGCATTGACCATTAAAGCTAAATTTATGTTAACTTTTTCAGATGAAAAACTTATTAATAAAAAGACAAACCACCAATTATTTCTGAGTTATCTAGAAAAGTTTAAGATATCAAGAAAGTCAATTAAATGCTACATTGATAAAATGTTCAATTTAAAAAAATGTATCAAAAAGATGTTTATGTACATTATCACCTTGAGAAATCGAGAGATGGTTTACAAAATCAGAAAATATTTATGGATTTATTAAGATAAACTGGAAAAAAGTCATTACAAATGACTTTTTTCCAGTTTATCTTAATAAATCCATAAATAATGATAAAAA